GAAGTGAAAATGCTACATGAACTGCATGATGCTTGCAGGCAGGTGTGGGTCCCCTGTCCATCCCACTGCCACTGGACTCTCGCTTCTATGTCAGCCCCTAATAACACCCTGGCTGGCTCTGGGTCCCTTCAGCCTCTTGAACCTGGTGCCTTCCATATTAAGGTTAATAGGGGTTCGGCACATCCATTGACCTGCTGCTTGCTGTTTCTTTCTTTTCTTGGTTCTGGAGTATCTGAAGGTAGAAATGATTATTCCATATGCTAGAACTGACAGACCTTCAACTCTCATCAGTTACCTTTCTCCCACAAACACCTGCCTTGGTCACACAGTGGCTTCTTAGAGAATTAGAAACTAGCACTGTTTTTTTTCCCTCCTGTTTTCATTAATCAGCTTCTAATTAACCTTATAACCACCATTAATATATGGAATTGATATAATTTCAGCCCAGTGCGGAAAAAATTGATATTTTTACTTTTCAGGATGGCTTCATCTTGAGTAAAAAATCTAATTGCAGTGAGGCTTTCTGAAATGTGGAAGGTAGACTTCAGCCCGTTCTGAACCCTGCCTGGGAACCACTGTGCCCTGGATGATTAAGAGACAGCTGAGGTCATCTCCTTGGACACCTTTGAGTTTTGGATTGATAAACACATCTAAGCTGCTCCATATCAGTCCACATAGGTTGAAGTTTAGCCAGACCACTCAAGGAAACTTGTGTAGCTTTGTTCGGTGTGTGAAACCAGCCCTTTCCCACTTGAATAAGGTTTTCTTCCAAGTAGTTCAGTAGGAATGAAATACAGCTAGTTCTGCCACAATTCCCCCAGAGAGCGCTGACCCCATGCTGTGTTGAGCAGGCACTGCCGCCTCGCCTGCCTCCGTATTCTGAGCTGGAGATCTGCTTGCAGGCCTCTGCTGGGCCTGCCTGGTCAGGGAGTAGGAGGAAGGGTATTTGAGAGCTCTGAGGCCTATGCTAATCCTGTGCTTTTTTTTCTTTTTAAATAAAAGAAAAAGGACAATTGCCTTAGCTCCGGCTCCAGACTAGGGATCGGGCGTGGTTCTCTCCCGGCTTGGCTTAACAGATTAGATTTGGTTATGATACACACCTAAGTCCAGGATCCGCTCATTACTGACCCAGCCAGGTGACATTGTTCAACAAGGCTTTTTTTTTCTCCTGTGCTCACATCTAAGAGAAGCAGTACTGTTGAAAACGAACTTGGTGTGTGTACATTCATGGGCTTGCTTCTTGACGTAGCCTAACATTGTACCTACCTGATGTGAGAGTTGCAGAAGATACCCCAGACAGATGACAGCAGCAGATGTGATTTGCAAGATGCGACTGTCAAGGCTGTAGCCCTTTCGTGATGATCTTTGCCAGAAGAAAGAGCACTCTGGCTTTAAAATCAGACAAGTGTGTGTTCAAAGTCTGGTTGTGGGACGTCTGGTCGTTTGGTTTCTGAGCTGAATGATAAGATGTGTCTCCCAGGGTTGCTGTGACGATTCATGTAGCTGACACTAAGGTGAAGCCACAGCGAGTGTCTCACTGGGACTAGAGCATGTTCTTCTCCTGGCCTGTCACTGTTTCCATCAGTCAGGGAGTGGGAGTGGAGGGATTCCCTACGCTTTCTGAAGGCTAACTTTAGCCTCTTGGTGACTTCAGTTTTCTGGACAAATAGGCCATCTCAAAAACAGATTGAGTGACAGTGCCCAGCAGTATTATACCCACAAGGCTCACAGACTCTGGCTGTCATCAGAACAAGGCTCATAACTCTTTTGTTAACCCTGAACTGCTCCTCTGGAGTTGCCTTAGTCAAGGACCTCATCACGGGACTTCCCTCTCAGATAGTGATGGTTGGAGGAAACCGGCCCAGGCGCAGCAGAAGGCACTGCTAGACCGTGCGGGCACCGGGGATGTAGAACCGGCCAGGACTGCTTGCACCGGGGCATCTCACTGCCTGGCCCTGCGCCTGGGACAAGTAGTGTGGCCTGGCGGAGCTCAGCATACTCACCCAAGACTACAGCTAAGTGCTGCTGTAAAGACTTGAAAACCCTGGGTTGTGGCTTTAGTAGACAAAAAAGCAAATCTCACGGTTAGAGAGAATTCAGATAATCCCTTGGATTTGCAGCGGTAAAATTTAGTAATATTAAGGGTCTAAATTAAAATGAAGAGCTACGTATGCTCTCAGTGTTAATTGCCTTCCAGCCTTCCTGCTTTTTTTTTTTTAATTTCTAAAGGAGATGCACGTGGTGCTAGTGAAGTACTTTTAGAGAAACGCACACACCCCTTTCGCGTATTGCTGTCTTCTCGAAGCTGGCTATAGAAAATCCTTGAATGACTCCTTTGGTGAGGGCCTTCTACAGTCCATGTGACCTTATAGGTGTTTATCTTTCAGGCTGATACTGTTTTTTGCACAAAAGTGTACACTTCCCTGATGGGTTTAGATCACCGATTATAATTAAGACCTGCTTTGAAATGCTCTTCCTTAACACAGGCTTTGCATACGCTAAGAGCCCCAGGTTCAACATGGGCAGTCTTCATTTAAACCCAAAGAGATTTTGATCACCATTGCTTTTTTCCCACTTAGAATGTACACTTAGCACATTGACAGTTTGTCAATGGATTGCTTTTCTCAAGGCAAACATTGTATGCAACCTCCACATTTTACACTTGAATCCCAGATGGCCACTGGCACCTTTTGAGTAGCCTCACTTTTGTTGGAGCTGCCGCCTTAGTTCAAGTCCTGCTCCGTTCTGTCTGGCTTTTCCTCTGCTGATTGTGCTTGGAGAGGCCGTGTTCTGACTTGTCCACTGTGCCTAGAATCAGCGGACTCAGGTGCTAAATCCAGCTCACTGTTCTTTTGCGGGGCCTGGCAAAGAAGCTGCCCAGGCTTTTGGTTTGCTGTTGGCATAAGAGTGTCTCCTCTGTGTTTGAATGCAGAGGAGATTAGAGTCATGCAAAGCTCTCTCATCCGGAGTCCAAGGCCTGAGTGAGTTCCTCACTCTCCAGTTGGTTGGGAAAAACTTTTAATGTCCCTCAGAAAGTTAATGCCTCTGTATATTCGGGCATTAGAATCCATCCTGGAAGTTTATCAGAAGGATTAAATCATATGACTCATGAGACACAGGGTACACAGTGGAGGCTTGTATTTGTACAACTTGAACAACCGCATAAACAATTTCTTGCATTTGCCTGTGGAAGACGGACTCTGGGCAAATTTACTTTCCAATTAAAATCTTGACAATACAATTTCTGTGTATAATAGCCCCTGAAAATGCCACATACAGAGGTGGTGTTGGGGGTACGGTGCCCAGCACATTGCCCTGTGCTGATGACTCTCTTCAGTGGTGTCAGCATGAGAAACAAAAACTCTTTGTCGAGAACTGAGTCCTGATTCCAATACAGCGAGTGCTCGACTTATGACCACGGTCGGGACTGCGGAACGGTCGTAACACGTTTTGGTCGTAAGTTGAGTCAGCTATATGTACAGCTGAAATGGTGCACGTGGAGATGGTAGTGCTGCCGGAAGCTGGTCCGCACTGTCATACGCCCAGCTGGGCAACGTTTGCACTGCCAGACGTGGAGCAGTTGTGGCTAGCGATTGTGGTCGTAAAGTCGAATGGTCGTACGTTGCATAGGTCGTAAGTCGATCAATACCTGTACTTCTATTTCAAGAGTACTTGTCATTTTATTAAAAATATGTAGCAGAGAGAAGGGAACTCTAGTGTGAATCTGACATCTTGCCCAAAGACGTATTCCTATTGTGTTAGGCCATCACCTTTCCCTTGCCTTAAATTGTATCTATATTAAAATGATGCAGCCTTTAAAATAATGCTAGAGAATGCATAAAAAGGAATTAATTTTTTAAATCAAAATTTATGAACTTGCCTTATAACATTTTTATGATAGCCCTATTTGAATTATCTTCTTCTCTTTGACTAAAATAGAATTCGATTTTTCTATGGGGTATTTAACATTTTGGGTCATCATCATGCTAGGGATGAATTAATAGATCTTTGAGTGAACTGTCAAGACAGATCCCCACTGGGTTTGAAATGTAATTAAAAATGTCAGTGAACTCACTTGAAGTCCACAGAGTGCTCCAGGGTCCCCTCAAAAATGTTAGTCAAGGACTGAAAATATTTACCAAGTGCAGTGAGCATAATGCAGCAGCCAGCTCTCCACAACCAAGAGGAAGCTGGTCACCATTATCAGGCACCTCTCATCTTAACTTCCTTCTAGTTTTGAAGTGTTCATCTCAGATTTCTTGAAAGCAGGTGTGTTTAAGGTTAAGCCTTAGCCCAAGGCTATGGGTCTGGTTGGTGACCTCTATAATAAGTGGATGGTACAACAGACTTCCATGAGAGGAACAAGTCTCTAAACAATATCCATGTCCTTTGTAAGCCTTCTCCCTCATTAGACTCCCAGACTGCCTCCTTTCCAAATGGCAGCCTCCCTTTTGTTTCTGGCAGGCTTTTAAAGGTGGGGGTCATTGGGAGGATGAAGTCTGGAAGGGACTGGGAGCTCAGGTCCTTTGATTATGGGCTGGCTGTCGCCCCCACACCCCATCATCTCCTTCCACCTGCAATTTATCAGGTGTGTGGTTGGTCCCCCTACCTTGATGTTGGAGCTTGCACAGGGAATGAAAGGTGGGAAGGGGGAGGATGTGTGTGTTGATGGAGATCTTTAGGCACAGAGCAGCTTTATTCTGGGATATATTTAAAACACTGGTTTCAAAGTATAAAAAATTAGCCAGGGGTGGTGGCACACACCTGTAATCCCAGTTAATGGGGAGGCTAAGGCGGGAGGATCACTTGAGCCCAGGAGGTGGAGGTTGTAGAGAGGCAAGATCGTACCACCACACTCCAGCCTGGGTGACAGAGGAGACCTTGTCTCAAAAAAATAAATAAATAAACAAACTATTGGTTTTTAGGCAAATAACCAGTTATATTTCAAAGCGGTTACTTAAAGAAGCAAGCAGACCTAATACAGGCTTCTTTCTTTTTAGATTTCATGTGTTCCTTGCATACAAGCGATGTCCCAGATTATAATTCTTCGCTGAGATTTGAGTTGGATTTGAGAATTTGGAGAATCCCTGCAGCTTTGTAACTTCAGAGGTATAATTAGCTAAAAACGTCATCATTTTGAAGAGTTCTGCGTTTTGCCAGTCACCTCTCAACTGTGTGCCAAAGGTAAGTCTGCAGTTTTCTGCTTAAGACAGAAGTTGCAGCTTTTTGCCTCAAATGCTTAATTTGGGCAGTAAGTTCGGTACAGTATCAGTCAGTGTAGGCTTGATTTGTTGAATCATATTATTAAATTTAAGCTTTCAAGGAGAGACCTGGTTATCTCTGTTTACATTAGATTATCTCTGTTCCTGCTTTAGTGTGTGATTGGCTCTGAGTATGTAGCCAGGAAGCAGGATGGTAGACACCTCCAACCTGTAAGATGGTACAGGTACCTTCACACTCGAATACGTACTGACTCTTGAATCCGCAATGAATCCTGGTCCCCTGTATTGTGTATGGGACAGGGAGTATAACTTAAATAACCACTTTTCTGGTGCTTTCAGTCTAGTAAAGGTTGGATTCCAGCTTTAATGCTGAGAAGATAAATGTACATCAAAGGATAGCTGGGCATGGTAGCATGCACCTGTAGTCTCAGCTACTCGGGAGGCTGAGGCAGGAGAATTGCTTGAACTCGGGAGGTGGAGGTTGCAGTGAGCCAAGATCACACCACTGTACTCCAGCCTGGGTGACACAGCAAGACTCTGTCTCAAAAAAAAAATTTAAAAGCCTGCATTAAAGGAAATGCAGACAGATGAAGGATTTCAGGAAGGTTTTACCTGTTCATACGAAAAGCTACTTGTGTATGTTACAATAAAATCATAACTGTGATGCAGCATGTGGATTCTGGGACCCATGGGTGCTATATCCACAGGCACCAAACAAAAGCATGTCACTGTGGAACAAAAATAATTCTTAGCCCTAATAGCTTGGAACATTTCACTTAAAATATGGGTTGCTCTTTGGTGGTCCAGTTAATTCACTGTTACGTTTCTGGCTGGGCAGTAAGAAGTGCTTTAGGAGAAGATACATGTTCGCTTCCAGAGCTTTGTCTCAGAATGAACGGCAAGAGTAACACCAGCTTTCCTTAAAAACTTCAATTTGCTTCTATTATTCACAGATTGTTTTAAATAATCTTGACACTGTCATGTTGGACTACGGAATCTCTTAGTGTACTGGTTTCTGTAAATTTACTCCTTTAATATAAGTTAGAATTTCCTCTTACTTGATCTGCTTCTACTAAAAAACATCTTGTGTGAATATGTTCTTTCTCTTCAACTAGCTTAAAAGAAAAATCTCTTAGAACCTTTTTAATTTCAGTTTTGCCTCTTTTGAACTGTGGTATTCAGAACAGCATAATATTAATATGCAATAAGGACAGGATTAAGTGCCTTAGTGTTCTGGTCTTGTTATGCTTTATGTTATCTTTTGGAGAAAATGCCTCATTGTCCCGTTGATTTAGGGTGTTGTGTGTTGTGATTTCCAGAGCTAGCTCCTGGTGTGCACTCCGGGACTGGCACTCCCATTGCACACCTGACTCCATTCCCCGCTCCTTTCTCCCTCCCCTGTACTTGCTGACCCTGCCCTGCCCACCCCAGGCATTCTTGGCTGTTTTAGGTTTGGATCCCCTCATGCATTCATAGGGCATTCCCAGGCCTCTCTTCCAGACCTTGTGCGACACCAACACCATCAGGGTGTTCCTGTTCTGATCCTGGGAGGCTTTTCTTACATAAGAAAACTGCTCAAACCCATGGTAACTCAGTTAAAAAAAAAAAAAGCCATTGAAGTAGAACTTTTTAAAACAGCCATTTGCAATTGCAGTCACATATCAATCCATTTGTCAGATTTCAAGGGAATGGAGTGTAAGCTAGAAATGACAGATCCTCTGATCTGAACATTGGAACTCATGAATAATTCATTAGCATCAGAATCTGACACTACTTCTTTAGAAAGGTCTTGATCATCATCGGTGACATTTGCAGACCTGAAGCTGATGTTGGTTCTGGTTCAGAAGGTGGTGAAGTAGGGGAGGGTGGCGTGCTCACCCAGCAGCTCAGTCTGCAGGAGCTCCCAGCATGCCAGTGCCACACAGACAAGACAGTGCGTGGAGACCCACGCACAGACTAGCATGAGAGCTGGCTTGCAAAAATATCTGTGTCCATGTAATTTTAAAGGATTACTTTATAAGTTTATAAGATCCACACAAAACCTTGGTTCACCTATTAAAATTTACTTTTGTGGTTTAGAAAAATGTTCATTTGGAAAATCATGAGATATAGCCCATCCATATGATAAATAGCTGTTGTGAACACCGCACCTGTATTCTGGGCTATTTTTCTTGCAGTGACTCTTTTAGCCAGGCGTCCCCAAACTACGGCCGGCGGGTTATCCGGCCCCCTGCCGCACTTCAGGAAGGGGCACCTCTTTCATTGGTGGTCAGTGAGAGGAGCACAGTATGTGGCGGCCCTCCAACGGTCTCAGGGACAGTGAACTGGCCCCCTGTGTAAAAAGTTTGGGGATGCCTGGTTTTAGCAGTTTAAAAAGAATAGATAAAATATAGTCCCACCCACCTTTTCCCATGCCCTTTTGGAGTGGGACCCTGACAGTCCGGGACCATGCTACCTGCTGCAGTGAAGGTTCTTAAGACCAGTCCCTAGTACCTGAGGCAGGGACCAGTTGACCCTCTGGGGAAAAGTATGGAAAAGCCAGGGGATGTTATGTTTGGAACAAGTTTTAAAGAATGCGGGACATGTGTACAGAGGTGTAATACTGTTTCCTTGGAACAAGGCAAGCTGGTTGGACCAGCTGGGCCAGGGGTCCCAGAGATTGCAGGTCATTCAGACAATGCTGAATTGGGGACCAGACATTTGCCATTTGGTCGGTGATCTTTGAAGTGCCAACAGGAAAAGCAACAGCTCAGTCAGCCGTACCCTTTGGCATGTCAGAAAGAAATGTAATGCTGGCTTGGTAGAACAGTAAGCGGGATCTCAGTCTCGGATGTTTCCCGGTTATTGGGTGCTCAAGGTTTGCATGCCTGGGGCTGGGCTGAGAGCAGCTTGAGGAAGATGGGGGTGTCTCAGGGCCTGAGTGACATCTCAGCCCGTTTCCATGTGGCACATTTTCTTAACCCGTTTTATGGTCTCCCATTGAAGTTAAGGAATAAAGTCTTGGGACCCTCCGGCTCTGACCCTGCTGCCTTTGGGGAATGGAGGCTGTAGGAAGAGACTGGAGTTGTCAAATGACCAGAGTTGTCATTTTGGCACTTATATAATCTGCACTTAATTCTTCCTATATGTACTTGAAAAGTGACTATAATTGACTGTTGGAGGCTGGCTGTTCATTACTAGGAACAGAAGTTGCAAAGGGCCTTGTCTGCTATGCTGCAGATGCTTTGAGTTTTGAAAAGCTATTGAAGGCTTTTTCACGACAGATAGGTCCTAATGGACAGAAGGACGCTGGGATGGTGTAGTGGGGTAGGAAGGACAGTGGCTTAGTGACACAACTCAAGTATAAGTAAAGTAAACAGGACTGGATTTCACAAACCACGTGTCAGTTGGTGATGTGCATAGCCAGTATGTAAATGTCAGCAGTGAGCCTATACACATTTTCCATTTGTGATGGAAGCAGCAGCGGCTGTGTTTAACTGAGCAGTGAGCGCAAGAAGATGAAACGTTGAGCCTGTCACTTTTACATCCGTAAAAGCACTATCCAGTAATATTTCTTTAACTACTAAAGTTTACTACTTATCTTCATATTAGCCTCAGTTTATTTCAGAACAATTATTCCTAGAGTGTGTACACTTGGAAAAGTCATCTCGAATTTACTACTCACTTTTATCATATCCTGGCCTTTTGGTATTTTGGAGATTGCTGGTAGCTGACTTTGCCCCCAACAGGTTATTTAGAAAGATTTTTTACATGCCAAGGCCAGTGCTCACACATTTGAGTTTTTAGAGCTAAAGCTTCTGTTGGGGGTGTAGCTCTGAGGTTTCCTGACACCTAGAAGTAACTTGTGGAGTTTCTGCCAAAAGAGAGGGGCCCGTCTCAGCCTCCTGCCACACACTGGGCCCCTGGGTCATCTGGGGGAACAGTTAGATGGATTGTTTCTTCTGTACAGGGTACCGAGTATAGAGAGATGGCCACGGCCTTTGATGCTCTGGATAAATCTCTGATAATTGCTTAAATAATTGCCCAGTAAGTACCGACAGCTGCTAGGAAAAAAATATTGCCACATTGATTCCACAGTGCCCCTGGTGGTGCCGTCAGTGGAAGCCACCGTGATTATAGGGTTATCAGTGGCAGGCTCCCAGCACAGGGTTCGTCACCATTTGTATATTACCTCTGGTCGCAAATGCAGATGTTATTGCCCCCATTTAACAGATGGGGACCCAAAGCCTCAGGAGAGGTTAAGGAGACTGTTCACTGCTGTGCATGCTCAACTCCCCTTAACCTCTCCTGTGGCTTTGTGTCCCCATCTATTAGTGGCAGCCCTGGAAGCAGAAGGTCCGTTGCTTACAAGCCCACGTTCCTTCTGCTTCCTGGGCTGCCGTCTCTGACACACGATGGTAGTGACATGGTAACCACCCATTCTCCAAGCGCTTACCTTGAACCAGGATGTGAGGCTTTGGGAGATCCAATGACTTAGCAAAAGCCCAGGGCTTCTAGGTGGCAGAGCAGGCTGGGTGCTCCTGTTTCTTGATCCCCAAAAGCCTTTCTTACTGTACAAGGAATTTTGTTAGATTTATTTTTTTTGTTCCCTTGAAAAATCTGCAACTTAGTACAGTTTGGAAGGGTCTCTTTTTGGAAACATACGGGTGTGTGAAGGAAGGCTTTGGGAGGTTTGAGAAGGGATAGGAGCTAGGAACCTGAATCCGCCAAGGGCCTCTGCTGCTCCTGAAGCCCCAGGATTAGCTTAGCAGCTCCTGTGGCCTCCAGCTCTGCCCATAGAGCCCCAGGACGATGCTTGTATTGGGGGCCCACAGCTTAACATCAGACCTGCCAGAAGAGAAGTCCTCTGTATAGGCCAGGGACTTTGTATTTAACAACCACTTCCTGTGTGCTGTGGCCAACCCTGTGGTCCCTGATGCTTCCCACAGCACCCCTGTTCAGGGCGAAACGTCATAAAATTGT